GAGAAAAGCAGTCACTCCTGTGTCCCCGGTCTCCGGCCGCACTCCGCGCTCACCCGGCCTGTGACCGAGCGTTTCTATCTCTGGCACCCGACCCCGTGTGGAGTCTCCAAACCCAGCAGATCCCTGAGGTGCGTTCCCGCGCCGCTCCTCCCCGGGAAGGAAGGGGAGTCTCCCCGGCTCTGCCGCTTGTTGGGTCCCTGCTGGAGGAGCAGTGGCCCGACTGGGCCGCGGATCACAGTTTATGGCAACCCCGAGCTGAGAGCCCGCGCCTCGGCCCCGTCTCTGCAGCCGGCTTCCCCGCTCCGATCCCTGGGAGCTCTGGCGCACTCAGGCACCCCCGGTCTTTCTGTGACCCCGAGGGTCCTGAGACCACACTGTCCCGCGAGGGTTCCACCCCCCCGCTTAGCCACTGGAGTGACGTCCCTCAGCGGAGCCGACTTCTAAAAGTTCCGATTTTGTGCTCCGTGGCTCTAGCACTTGCCAGAAGCGGCTGGCGGAGGCCCCTCCCCTGCCGTCTATCCTCCCAAATATCGCCTGGGATTCACTTCTCCGCACGTCCTACCTTCCAGAAAGTGGTCGCTTTTCTGTTCAGAGTTGTTGCTACTCTCTTCTTCGATCTCCTGTTGAGTTCGTAGGTGTTCAGAATGGTTTGATCCCTATTCAGCTGAATTCCTGAGACCAGACGAAATCTAGGTCTCCTACTCCTCCGCCATCTTGCTCCGCCTCTACCCTTCTATTTTCTGTCTCTATGAATCTGACTACTCTAGGTACCTCATGTGAGTGGAATCATATAGCACTTGTGTTTTTATTTCACTTAGCACAATGCCTTCAGGTTTCATCTGTGCTGTAGCATGTCAGAATTCCCTCCCCCTTTTTTTTTTTTTAGAATTCCCTCCCTTTTTAAGACTGAATAACCCATTGTATGAATAAACCACATTTTATCAACTCATCCATTGATGGACACGTGGGTTGCCTCCACCTTTTGACTATTGTGAATAACGGTGCTATGAACATGGGTGTACAAATATCTCTTTGAGTCCCTGCTTTCAATTCTTTGGGGTCTATATCCAGAAGTGGAATTGCTATGTCATAGTGGTAACTCCAATTTTCATTTTTTGAGAAGCCACCAAACTGTCTTGCAAAGCACTTTTTGCTTTTTGCATTTTACATTCTCACCAAAAGTGTACAAGTTTTCCAATTTCTCCACATCCAACCTAAGAGATTAAAAAAAAAAAATCGAGGGGCACCTGGGTGGCTCAGATGGTTCAGCATCTGCCTTTGGCTAGGTCATGATCCCAGGGATCTGGGTTTGAGTCCCACGTCAGGCTCACTGCTCAGTGCAGAGCCTGCTTCTCCCTCTCCTCTGCCATTCCCTCCGCTTGTGCTCTCTGGCAATGTCTCTCTGTCAAATAAATAAATAAAATCTTTAAAAAAAATTGAAATCTCTGTTAAACATCTTCAGTGAAAAGTTGCACGTCTTTGCTATCTGTCTCTAGTTGGGGTTAATCTAATTCTTTTTTTCTTTTTTGCTGCTACACTTAGTAAATTAGGAAAGGAAAATGAAACACAAGAACATAATACATATTGAGTAAAGATCCAATGTTGAGATAAGGTGTCAGTATGTTCTGTATGAATGGAGTTATTCTGACCATGATATGATCTATACAAGTGGTGGTCTAGGAATGGATCTCCCCTTAGTTGGCACTTAGAGTCAACTCCATGTAAACATTAAGTTGGGTGGGACAATGGAACAGTTTGGATAAAAGCGTGGAAAGGAAATAGATACTAAAACTGAGAAGAGTGCTCACTTTGACAGCACTTATACTAAAACTGGAGCAATACAGAAATTAGCATGGCCCCTGTGCAAGGATGACATGCACATTCATGAAGCATTCTATATTTTTGTATGGAATCACTGAATCACTACATTATACAACTGAAACCAATATAACACTGTATGCTAACTCACCGGAATTAAAATTAAATTAAATACTGAGAAAAGATCCAGTGGGGTGAGAATGATAAGGAGAATTATTTTTGCTATCTTTGTGTAATAAAGCATACATGCCCTTTGTGATGGCTTCTCCCAACAAAGTGACAGCCAAATCTACAAACGACCTTGCACTCACTCTTCCCCTCCCTTATCTTCCTCCCCCTTACCTTCTTTTTCCTTCAACAAATCAAGACATCCCTTTACTTTAGTCAGGCACAAAAGAATGACATCTTAAGATATTTTACTAAGAATCCAAGGTAAAATAAGAGGAAACAACACCTCATTCAAAAGGAGGCAAAAGGAAAGGGTTTTTTTCTGGAATAGAGATCTGAACTATCTAGAATTCAGTCTACTGTTGAACTCGACTTCTGGATTGGGACTGATTCCCAGCTGCAAAAGTTGTGCTCTTTCCCAAACTCTCCTATATCATTTCAGTGGTCTCCCCATCAATGCCCTTGATACCCTCCAAGTCCTCCTCTATAGTTATGTAGAACAAAGATCTACCAGTTTACATAAAAGGATGCTGTTAAAGATCTTTCACAGATACAGATCTCAGAACTTACAGACTCCATTGAAGAGTTCCTAACAAACCCTCTGTGACACTCAGACTCTCCCAGCTGCGTCACCCCTATTTTGCTGTGCTGTCCACGCCCAGCCCAGCACCTAGTCAGGGATAAGCACAACCTCATCTAATCAGAATTCAAGCATTTTTCCATTGAGCTGCAACCTTGGGATGCCCAAAAGAAAGTGCTTCATCCTTCTCACCCGTTATGGGGACCTAAAAGTGCAGTAAAGCAACGGCAACCAAGAAAATTGGGGAGGGAGAGCCACCACGGATTCACTGAAGAAATCTTTCTTAAGCACATTTACCAAGCTGGGCATTACAGTGAGCCCTGAGACAGAGTGAATGGATTTCTGACAAAAAAATATATATTTTTTTCCTTGGGAGAGATCAGGATGTAAGTATCCTGTATTGTTGAAGAGATTCACGTGTTATGGCTACAACCTGAAAGGAGTAAAATAACATTTTGCTGTGGAAAGTCATGCCTTGCTGTTCTTCATAGGGCCGTATCTGCTTTGGGCTGGTGGGGGTAAACTTCAGGATCTGTTCTAATGTTTGAATGGGTGTTCTGGTGAAGCCGCATGTTTCCCACAATGGAGCTATCATTCCTGAAATTTATGTGATTATCACCTGAGGGGCTGCGAAAATGAAGATTCCCTGTGGACATCCACAAATACATTTTACACAAGTTCCCCAGGCGATTTTGATGTTAAGTGATACTGTGTTAAGTAATACTGTGAGAATCTGTTGAAAAGCATTATTAAAAGACAAACTGAGGCATATTAAAAATGTTAAGAGTTTGAGCTAAAATCAATTCCCATCAGACAGTACCAAACCAGAAGTGGCTAGCAGCCCTCCACCCACAGGAGGTAGCGGCCAGACACTTACAAACATAGGAAGCAAAGCAAAAAAACTTTTATTGGCTATAGCTTAAGGTTGCCTTATAGGGGAAAGCCTATGGATATTTGTGATTGTTTGCCCTTATGTTCAATTCCTTAATTTTGAGGCATTGACAGACTTAGGTTTGGGGTTGTTTATGTAGGCTGCCAAGGCATTAGCACTACCTGTTTAATGACCTCCTTGTTTAAGTAATTTAATAGCATGAAGGACAAAACCTCAATCTGGAATATCCTAAGGATAGTTTTCACCTTAAGTATTAAGTATGTTAGGGACTTGCCAACTCCACTACCAGCTAAGGTGTGAATACAGCTCATGGCTCAGCAAGCTGACAGAGAGGGTTTGACTGAATGTTGACTACCACTCAGAGGCAGCAATTTTCTCTGCAGGATGATGGAAAGCAAGGGAAAGGTCCTAAGACAGTGGAGCTGGATCACTTGCTTCTAGATCTGATACACTGGATCTTTTGAGTCAGATGCCATTATTCTATGAGCAAATGATCTTCTAGAGTCCAACCCCACACGATCTAGTTACCTCTCCTACTGCTCCCCTGAGCCTCCTGAAGTATAAAATACTTCAATGTAGAGGTATGATAAGCACCAGGTAGGATTTACCAGAGAGGCATTTGGGTCATTTTTGGAGTCGGGGAGGGCAGAGAAGCTAGGGAACAGTAAGGACACTGGAATGTTGTGGGTCTCTAGGGGTAGCAGCTCCTGCTGATTTAATAGTGCATGAAGACACTGGATGTGGGCTGGAGCTGAGGTCCCCTGAGGTTTGCTAGGGCCTGGGGTTAGGGGAGCTTTCAAATGTATACCTATAGTCACTGGGTGGTACATAAACTCTATCACACACTAGAGGTGTCAAGCGAATGCCTTTTGGGTACCTAATTCCCAGCATATCAGCTAAATCTAAAAAACAAAACAAAAAAACTAGGCTTTCTGAAGACCAGTCCTCAACATCTAACAGCCCTTCTGTTATTTCATATTCAACAATTCTAAAATTAGACTCATTTTTCCCTTTTAATTCATTGCTGCTCAAACCAGTTAACCCAGTTAACCCTCCAGATTTCATTTATTTGACCATCAATTTTGCCCTGCTATAGAGGTCTGTCATAAGCACCAAGTAAGATACAAATTGTGAAACAATTCCAAAACACTGTGAGACTAAATGCCCACCGGGATACCTGTACATTTGTATTAACCAGAACATGCATTAATTACCAAAGATGCTCCCTGAAGCAATGGGCTAAAACCAGCAGATTTGGGGAAAATGATCCCCATTTGGAGCAGAAGGTATACACCTACACAAAACCAAGGCCAGGGATGAAGACACTGAAAACAGGATTTCCATAAAGGAAGCTGCCACACGAAAGGTCTTCCTTCAGTCACTGCAGGAAGGAGCCTTGGTCAACCACACACATAGTGAAAAAAGCACAGGAATGAATCTGCAGCTCTTGTGCAAGATGAGGTATGATCAATTCAGTGCATCTCATTAGCTGTACGCTGTGTCACCCTCCTGCTCCCACCTCAGGGCCATTATCACTGGACAAGGACTTGCTACCCTTTTCTTCCCACATTCATAACTAGTAAATCCCGTCGGGTTGTTTTTTTATTTTAAATTCTTATAATAAAATAATTTAAAGCTTACAGGAAAAGTTGCAAAATCAATAGTGCAAAATACCCATATATCCTTTACCCAGGTTCATTTATCATTAACGTTTTTACCTTCTTTTCTTCCCTCCTCCTCTGCCCTGCTTCCACCTCCCCTCTGTGTGTGTATATATATATATATGTGTGTGTGTGTGTGTATGTATATTTGTGTATGTACACACACAACAGTCCTTTATCCTTAAATATTTCAGTGTGTATTTCCTAAGAACAGAGATATTCTCTTACATCACAATATAGTTATCAATGCTAGTACTTTTAACATCAATACAATAATTTAATCTAGATCCATATTCCAATTGTGAAAACTGAAACAAGAATGTTTTTTAAAGCTGCACAACACTACATTGTATGGATGTGCCAGAGTTTTTTCAATTGCCTATCCTGGATATTTATGCAGCTTCCAATATTTTTGCGGTTAGTAAGAAGGCTGTAATGAGTAATGTTCTGCATATGTATTTTCATATTATCAGAGATGTCTCTTTAAAACCATCCATAATTTTGTAAGATACTGCTAAATTCTCCTCCGCATGAGGTTGCACTGTTTTGCATGCCATTAGCAACACATAAGAATTCCAGTTTCCCCACAAACTCATCGACAGCACATACTGTCAAGCTTGGGAATTTTGGCCAATCAGATGGGAAAAAAATCTCTCAGTATAGTTTTAATTGGAATTGAAGTGAAGGTCAGCATCTTTCAATATGCTTAATAGCCATTTTCATATCTTTTTTATGAAGTCAAGTTTGTCAGTTTTTCAATGGGATTGTTTCATTTGTTGTTTGTGGGTTTTTTTTTTTTTGCTTTTTTAAAAAAGTTCTCCACATATTAGAAATACTAGAATTTTGTGTTATGTGGCAATTTCTTTCTCCTAACCTGTCATTTGTCTTTGCTTATTGTTTTTGCCATTCAGAAGTTCTTAAAATTTTTATGTAGGAATGCATCAATCTTTTTTTTATGCCTCTGGATTCTCAGTCCTAGATTTAAAATCTTTCCCTGAACCCGTGTTTTAGAGGAATTCACATCCACGGTGTTTTCTGGTACTTGCATTCTTTCATTTTTCACATTTGGATTCCTGACTCATTTGGAGTTTATTCTTGAATGTGATGTGAGAAGTGGGTCATTTTTATCTTTCTCCAAATCACTGTCCAATTATCCCAAAGCAACTTTTTAAAAAAGGGAGGCTCAGTCCATTCAGCATCTGTCATCGGCTCGGGTCATAATCTCGGGGTCCTGGGATGGAGCACCAGCTTTGGGGCTCCCTGCTCAGCAGGGAGACTGCTTCTCCCTCTCCCTCTGCCCCTCCCCCTGCTCCTTCTCTCTCTCTCAAATAGATAAAATCATTAGCCATCAGGGAAATTCAAATCAAAACCACACTGAGATATCACCTTATACCAGTTAGAATAGCAAAAACTGACAAGGCAAGAAACAACAAATGTTGGAGAGGTTGTGGAGAAAGAGGAACCCTCTCACACTGTTGATGGGAATGCAAGTTGGTATAGACACTTTGGAAAACAGTGTGGAGGTTCCTCAAAAAGTTAAAGATAGAGTTACCCTATGACCCAGCAATGGCACTATTGGGTATTTACCCCAAAGATACAGATGTAGTGAAAAGAAGGGCCACATGCACCCCAATGTTCATAGCAGCAATGTCCATGATAGCCAAACTGTGGAAGGAGCCGAGATGCCCTTCAACAGACGAATGGATAAAGAAGATGTGGTCCATATATACAATGGAATATTACTCAGCCATCAGAAAGGATGAATACCCAACTTTTGCATCAACA